GTAGCAAAACTAAGGTTAACTTAGTAGAAAATAAAGTTATAAGGTATTTTGAAATAATTAAGCTGGGAAAAATTTGTATACGAGTGATAGACGGAAAGAGTTTTTTTTTTATATTACATTTTTATAGTAAACATTTTAACAATTATCATATAATACTTTCAATATGATGATGTGATTATTCTTGTTAGACATGATTATATAAGGTTGGTATGAAACACTAATTTCGTTTATATTTAGTGATTCAGATACGTAGATAATAATCAGTACAACCATAATATTTTAGAAGAAATATTTATAAATAGCTTGACTATAATCATGAATCGTAAAAAAAAATATATCTAAAGACCTCAAGAAAAATAATAAAGAACAGGTGAGTTATTTCACAAAGTATTACATATTTAGTATGCACGTTTGTAAGTACGCTAACAATAGTGAGCCAAGCTAGCTAGACAAACAGTATGGGCGAGGAATCGATTGTTGTAAAAACGTTGTGTGTTGTGGATATCTTCAAGGGGATAATAGCTTGTAATAAATACATCAGCTCAAATCAACACTGCGGAACATTAGTTAAAGATGTTTACAATCTTGATACAATAATAATATGTTTATTCACTATATTTTTTTTATTTAGATCACAGAAAAATTGATTGAACGACTATGTTTGGAATTTAAAAATACGAATCAAAAGATACTAGAATACGCAAAATATGAGACAAATGATTCATTTGTAACCCACATATTCATACAGACCGAGACAAGGATTTTATCATTTCAAAAGAAGATGTTTATTTTTTAGTTTGTAACAAATTTCACAAAATAGCAAATGTTGGCTTTCATGATGTAGAAAGAATATCATCTGTGTCTAAGCTATACAATTCCTGTGGTGTTTTAGTGACAAACCAGGATTATTCCGGACGTGCAAAGTTAGTCGCTCATGATATAGATATTGTTCTTACATATCAGAATAATATAGTTAAGATACTTGATAAACGAGTTAAATATGAAAATGTAAAGAGAAATTACAATATGTTGGGAGACATATTAGTAAAGTATCATTAAGAATTTATTTATATATTATAAGAAATAAACGATAGTACTGATTTTCATTAATATTGTGAATTAAAAAAAATATATATATTTAAATAAAATAGTTTATCTTAATTGGATAGGAATATCGATTTAGCCAGTGAGAATTTATAAATATTTATATTTTATACGAGATTAATGTATAAGTTACGCTGAGGGCTGAGTGAGATCGAGAGGCACTCTTGTCTAACTTTTGATATTCGCCCCTGTAAACATTAACAGGATTTTATGAAATATAATATTTATAAATTCTTTTTTTTTTAGGTTGTCGAAATTTATTTCATTTTATAGTCCAATGTAAATAGAAACATGGAGATTCACAAATTAGTTTAAGCGAGATGCGTGAATTTATCGAAACTGTTGCTTCTAGACTGAAGGAAGAATATGGGTTTTTTGTTTCAAATGTTGATATGTCTATCCATGCTTCAAATAAATTGTTGAATTCTGAATATCGTGAAGAGATCATAGTATGTAAGGAAACTAAAATTGTTGAATTGATTAAAAAATTTGAAGAAATAACATTAAAAAGGTCCAATGAAGATAAGAAGCTTAAAATTGAAGATGATGAAAAGGACAAAAAAAATCAAAAAATTAAATCAAAAAATTGAAATGTTGACTAATAGTATTAGAGAAAAGGATATTATTATTGAAGGAATCAAAAAGTTATTAGTTTAATATTATGATAATTATTTTTGTTATTAAAGTAAATATTTTATTACAAGATTTGTTTTGATTTTTATTATTTCTAAATTGGTCGTGAATGAATTTTTGTGATTGGTCAAGTAATTAAGTTAATATATTCTTTATTAGAAATTGAGAAAATCGAAGCGTGTTTAGAATATGTATATGATATTGTAGAGTCATTAAAAAAATGTAGACTTGATGTAAACTACGATAAGGAAATTATCTTATCAAATAGGGATAAGGATATCCTTGTTACATTTGAAGGTTATAAGATTTTAATTCGTTGTAAATATAGAAAAGCTAAAAAAATTCGTTCCAATGATATAGATATGCTCATATCAACTTTAAAACAATCATACAATGATCATATTGTAACAATAGTATCTAATCAAAGTTATTAATGGATCCTTATTTTACAATTTAATAAAATTATTTAAACAATATTATATATGATAAAAATAAACTTATGGAAATATGTTTTCTTAAATATAATATTTGTTACATAATGAATTGTCTTAAAATTAACCATACTTCTTAAGTAATAATCTAAAACCAAACCAATAAATAATAAGTAAAATATTTGTTAGTAAAATATGATAATGTTGCGTTGAATATAAAAGTTCATAAAAGGTATCATAGGGTGTATGACACGGGCGATAAGAGACCGGTTCAATCACTATTGCAGTGAGTTCGTAATGACTTAATAGCTCACGCATTGCGTAAATATAATCATTTATTAGAAATATTAAAAAAAATAATATTTTACTTACTTTCTTGAACGTCAAAGTAGATTTGTTGTATTAGTGAAATTTCTTATCGAATTGTGGGAATAAATAGGTTTTTTGCTATTTCTTAATAAAATTCATGTGTAACAATGGCTCAGAGGGTCATTTTGGTAGCAAAAATCCCAAATGGTCATAATGTACAGATTTGGTAGTTGATTGTGCTTAACGGTAAGTACTCAGTCGATTTTATATGAAAGGAATAAACTTTATTTTTTTTTCCCTTAATAAATATGGTACGTCCAAATCGTTGTAACCGTCTTCGTCGAAATGAAGATAATATCAAAGAAAATTATCGAGAGGCTATTCAAAACCTCTCCATAGGTTTGGCAAGAGTACGTCGTGAACTAGACCGTGCTCAAAACGGTCACCAGGGTGCCTTACGGATGTTAACCAGACTTTTGAACAAAAACACTCAGTTAATAGAGGTTAATATCTGTTTACGTAGGCATGTTATTTCCTTGCAAAATACTATCGAACGTCTAAGAATGGAAAATGAGTTTTTTTGTCAAACTATTTTCCATACTCTTCCTGGTCAACCTCAATTTACACATTGTGAGTTTCATTATGATTTTTTTTTGTTGTGTTATTAAGTAATTAATGATATAATGTTTATAGTCGGTGTAGTTGAGGTCAATGGTGACAACAGTCACTTTGTTCCTCCTACATTATTTTATACGTATGCAATGGAAGGATTAGATTTTGATAACCTCGACGAGAGTGAAGATGATAGTGATACTATTACTGATAATATTTAATTGTATTAAATACTGAAATAAATTTATTTTAATCACATGATAATAAAGTTTTTTTATATGAACAATTTGTACATAGGAAATAAATGTTATATCTTTATTAATTGTTTATTTATATTAATTCAGCGTTTAGCAACGATATAGTTTATTAAAGTCTTTATAATTCAACAATTTTTATTAAATCAAATATACATATTTACAAATATAATGTTTATATAAAACAATTCATATCGTAATTATTCTTAATGATGTTCTATCAATAAAAACATTTGTTAGTAATTCTAATAATTTAAGCCTCAAAGTTACAAATAAAAAAAAAAATCATAAGTAAAATGCAGTCGAAAAGGAACCGGTTCACTCACTATCACAGTGAGTTTGTTAATGACTTAGCGGTGCGCGCATTTTAATAATCATTAATTCTTAATTATATATTAAAAAAATATATATTTACTTACTTTTGAATATTTCTTTGAGAAAGAGTTTGTGATATCAGTGAAATCTTTAATCGAATAGTGGGAAATAATTTTCGGTAATATACGGTTATGGAAGTTGATTATGCATAATGAAAATGATGATTTTCAGCCTGTGATTATGAGAGATCAGATAATTAGGCTTTTAATCTCTTAATTATAATTTATATATGTAGTTTAGAATGATTTTTTTTTTTACGATTTACTCGTTAATATGAATTTCCTCAAATATTCATCATAGACAACCTTGATGAAAATCAAAACAACTTAATTTCCTATATTGGTCAAATAAATTATAAATTTTTCTATTGGTCAGATTTATAAAAATCAAAAACAACGTATCGGTATTATTCAGTAATTGTTTAACGTTAGGGTAAGACAGGGTTGACAATTAATATATTTCATTGAGAAACCAATGGAGTAAATGGAGCCAATGCTTCAATGGAAAAATTTAACGAAGCCGAGCTTTAAACTAATAGTTCGACCTGTTGAAAACAGTTTAAACTGATCAATGTTAATGGAGTTGGCTGGCTTCCATGCATGAATAAAAATACTAACTATATACTAACTTATTATATTTATTTAAAGAATAATTTTATATTACAAATTATTTTTATATATAATATCACAAATTTACACAGTCCAAATCCAATTCAAATACTGTTATAGTATCCTGGATACTATTCAATAAACTATCAAATTTCTTGAATAGCGATAATATTATTTTATAATCTAAATATAGTCAACTCCCTTTATACTGAACTGCATGTTCTGGGAGATTTTGTTCGGTATAGAGTGAGTTCGCTTTATACAGTTCGCTCTCTATACCAAACGGTTCAGTATATATAGTAAACTAATAAAATCATATGTATGTGATTAATAATACAAATTTTTTTTAATACTGTATGTGCCACAATCGATAACAATCGCTATATCAGTTAGTGGACATGTCACGCAGATTGATTTTACATGATAACATTACACAAAACTATATACTTACTTTTGAACCCGTTATAAGAAAACTTTCGAAGCTTTTTAAGTAATCGACTCTTATTGCTTAA